ACTGTCTTATTAGACAGGATCACTAAGGCGGTGAATGTGAGGGTTAACAAGGGTAGATGAAGTCGTCCAAAGTCTTTCAATCTTTGAGTAAATGGAACTGGCTTTTCGTGAGAATTATAGCGATATAACCTTTGCTTCGGTAGCACCTGAGATCCTTCCTAGGAATAAGTTTGCGGGAAACCAGTGCGATTTGCCGACAACAACTTTACCCTTCACCAAATGACCGGTGGTCACTCATCTTACCTACACTTAATAGTTACTGATTCCTTATATTACAGAGTGAGAACATATTCGGTTGAAAGAAGTTCCATGTAGGTTTGCCCTCCTCATAAGGGGCACACTTACAGTTGGTAAGAATGCCTACTCAAAAAAAGATGTGGACTTTCGAAGATCTATAATCCTTATTCCTTATCCTACAGCTCTTTTCGCAGCAGACGCTGTGTTCCGCGTTGTATTTGTTTGATTTCAATTAATTTGAAACCCGAGAACAAATAAATTTCTATCAGCGATAGGAGTGAAAATGCGGTTATCAGGTGCTAAGTCAGGTTGTGTCTGACGTTCCGGCTAGTTGTTTAGTCTATCCATCCTTTTATGAGACAGCCACAACATGTAACAATCGGGGCTGCAAGCTATCTCTACGACCACTGTGTATGAGCGTGAAACAAGCCAGGTCGAGACGCGGGTCGACGCGACAGAACAGATGGCCAACGCAAGTGGGGGCTAAGCAAACACCAGCGACACGGCAGCAGACAGGGTCAACGGGGAGATCGGCAGCGGAGACACAAGCGACAATAAAATGCGAGCCACGCATAGCACCTCAGCCGGTATTGGCAGAATACGCACATGAATAAAAAGTGAGCTGCATATAACGACCGCCATGAGCCGGGATATTCAGTCTCTGCAGATGGGTATATGAGACAATTACCCGAAACGGCAGGTACACAAAAAACGTCTGCCGGTGAACGCTCTTGCTCCTTCTAAATTGCTATTATTCATGGATTCGAGGATACCTGCACCGAGTCAGACGAGGCACATGCAGCCTT